GGGGGGGGGTACACCCAGAAGCTGTAGTGTCAATATGAGGGAGTACACCCCAAAGCTCTAGTGTTAGCAGGAGTGCCTGGGATGTATATCCCCGTTGAAAACTGAAAGCTATCAATATTGTTGGATAGGCTAATCTTAGATGAGTTAGATCCCACTTTCAAGATTAACAAGGAACTGGCTCTTTGCATAACATATAGCTTAACAATAGTGCCATTCCATTCACGACCAAAATGTTCCATTGTCTTTTCATTGTATTGAAAATCGTACTGTTCTCCATGTCATCCAGTCGTTATCCAGTGATCGGAATGTTCCATGGTCTTTTCATTGTTTTGAAAATCCCGTTGTTCCCCCTGTCATCCAGGCGTTGTTTTAACCTGTCCGTGACGTTATGCAAAGGATCGCCTCCACTCAATACCACTTGCCAAAACACGTTGGATGTATCCGTTTGTAAAATCGTAAACGTCCACACGGTCAGATTGACAGTTTTCTATACGATTCGTGTCCCTCAACTCCGTTGTTAAATGTGGTTAAACGTATATTTAAGCGAAGTTTACGGCAGATGTATGATGCCTGCGAACTAGCAGTGGGGAGTCCCTGACCTCACTTAGAACAGTTGCAACTCTCGCGCATTTGTCACTTTACTACAGCTTGGATAGCCAGCAACAACTGCTCGTTCGCTCTGCAAACCCTTCGTCCTTTCCCCACCCTGATACTGTTTGTTGGTACTCGAGTTCAGTTCTTTATTATTAATTAATGAAACATCCAAAGTATTAAAATAGTTTTGTTTGTGGAAACACCACGTAAATTTATTACTGCAAAGTAATACATGCAGTAAAAATTTACGTGGTGTTTCCACAAACAAAACTATTATATTTTATCGCCATGCAAACATACAAAGAACTTATCCAAAGTATTGTATTATAATCTTGAACTGCAGGTGGTCTCGAGAAGGAGGGTTCGTACAAAACTTGAAAACAAAAAGTCAAGACCTTGAAAGTCCTTGAGTTTATAAACAGGGTTCGTACAAAACTTGAAAGTCCTTGAATGTCCTTGAATTTGAAAACAAAAATTCAAGGCCTTGAATGTCATTGAATTTGTAAAGAAGTACTTGAATGGCCTTGAATTCTTCTTGCTTTAGTTTTTGGATATTTTCTGAAATTGTTTGACATTCAAGACGGACATTTTGTTGAACTGATTTTGCATGTTCATATCTGACCTCATAAAGTTACGTTTTGAACAATTCAACGTCAGATTTTGCTGATTTCTAACGCCTTCAGTATTTAGTCCTTGAATTTGCTGATACATGGCCTTGAATGTCCTTGAAAAGTCCTTGAATTTGACTCTTCCTGACATGTACGAACCCTGTATAAAGGAATGCTTGAAAGTCCTTCAATTGTTCTTGCTTTAAGAATTGGACATTTTGTAAATTGATTTTGTTAATGTCTTACAAAGGCCAAAGCTGTTTGAAATTCATTAAAGTTGCCGTTTGAACAGTTCAACCTCACTTTTCACTGGTTTATAACACCTCTTCAGCCTTTTGTCCTTGAATTTCCTGATATATGGCCTTGAATTTGACTTTTCATGACCTGTACGAACCCTGAGTAATATGAAACCTGTGGATTGCTAGGAATAAGCCTGACGTTTTGCTTGTATCCCTATTTGTATCCCTATCAACCCACAGCATCCTTTTGTCTTAATTGTAACATACTATAGTTATAATATCAGTAGCCAGGATTTTGACTGCTGTACACTCGTTTAGATTTTTAAGATGTTCTGTTTTAAAAAGTGAATTTTGTTGCGTTGCTATTTTTCAATTATTTTAAAAAGGTTGAATATGTTATCTGTTGATTTTTTCACCACAGGTGCCCGACAATGTCATATTTAAAGTGGCACTGTCATTAAAATTTTTATTTTCTTAATTAAACGAATGTATCTTTGCTATTTTTTATGGATTTGTTGAAAAAACCAGTATGCTTAATGATGTAGGTTAAATTAACAAACGTGCCGCATCGTTGGAAAGATTGTGATAAAAAATAGCAAAGATACCCAACAATTACTGATATCTCATTATATATGTCATTGACGTCACATGGTTACAAACTAAATGAAATATCTCAAGAACTGAGCATGGGAACAAAAATCTTCAAAACAAGTTACTATTTAACAAATATAAAACATTTTCCGTGTTGATATACAGTTATGTCAACACGAGTGGAAATTGGGAAAACGAGAAATTGTGTGGAAACACGACGCCCGAAGGGCGGAGTGTTTTCACACAATTTCGAGTTTTCCCAATTTCCACGAGTGTTGATATAACTGTATATTAATACGGAAAAATGTTTTATATTTGTTTTATAATATAGCACAAAGAAACATAAAGAAAGAAATTTTCCGACGTTTCCGTGTTGACATTGAGTTATATCAACACGGCTCTTAGCCAATCAGCGTTCAGAATTTACAAATGCTATATTATAAAACAGTTTTAAGAGCATCTTCGTTTAAGAATATAAAAATTTTGATGACAGTGCCACTTTAAGTAATAGTTAGATCATGAGCGGCCGTGTTGTATCAGATATACAAACTCGAGCCGAAGGCGTGGTGAGGTTGTATGTCTGATACAACATGATCATGGACGCGAATGCTTTATATAGCTTGTATTCGTATTCTTCGACATGATATTTGGTGAGAAAATTGAACCTGACGTTTATGTAAATCAGTATGATCTGTATCACACTCATGATTTCTTTTGTGTTTTAGTAAGTTTCACAATATATCATAAACATATCAATACAAACATAACTATATATGAACAAAACTAATTTTATTTATACTGGATAACTCTATCAGTTTTAGACTGTTCTTTCTAGAGGTCCAGTAAGAGTCATCTCTTATTGATCCAGTGTTACTACAGGAGGAAACCTAAACTAACTTTATTTATACTGGATAGCTATTAGCTCTATCAGTTCGAAACTGTTCTCCTTATAGAGATCCAGTAAGGATCATCTCTTATTGATCCAGAGTAACTCCGGATCAATAACGGATCAATAAGAAATGATCCTTACTGGACATCTAAGAAGAATAGTTTAGAACTGATAGAGCTATCCAGTATAAATAAAGTTAGTTTAGGTTTCCTCCTGTAGTAACACTGGATCAATAAGAGATGATCCTTATTGGACCTCTAGGAAGAACAGTCTAGAACTGATAGAGCTATCCAGTTTAAATAAAGTTAGTTTAGTTTAGGTTTCCTCCTGTAGTAACACTGGATCAATAAGAGATGATCCTTACTGGACATCTAGGAAGAACAGTTTAGAACTGATAGAGCTATCCAGTATAAATAAAGTTAGTTTAGTTCAGGTTTCCTCCTGTAGTAACACTGGATCAATAAGAGATGATCCTTACTGGACATCTAGGAAGAATAGTTTAGAAGTGATAGAAAACCGGGGTACCCAGAGAAAAGCTGCATTATTTCGAAAGACTTGGAAGCATTCTCGCATGCGACTGAGGCGAAATTAGAACCAAGATCCAAATATAATCAGACAACTGCAGGACATGGTTATGTTTGTATGCTGTCCATGAATAGTTTTCTAATATACACATGCATTGAAGTTTGAAAGGACAGCTGTGTCGCGTGAGTTGTTTCATTGCAGCTGGGATCACGATAAGAAACGTCGAACCAGAGCGAAGAAAGCACAGTCAAAATCAGACGAGAAAGAAATTGAGTGGACCAAGGTGTGTGTAATTTAACGCACGTTCCTTTTAAAGTGCATATGACATGCATGTTTTTATTTTCTTAAATGAAAGAACTCTTTAAGTTGTAGTGTAACTTATTTTTCAGTTTCTTGTTTTTATGGTTTGTTCCCGAGATATTTCAATTTGGTATGTAAATGAGTGTGAATATGTCCGCTAATTTATGACGTCATGTTGGTTGCAAGCTCAATTTACACTGGTTATAAATCTATTAACTCTAAAAACTGTAGATATCAGTTCACGTTTTTCTCCAGTATTTTATCACATTTACCAGTGAGTGAAGTTAGAAATTATTATCTTGGATGATAGCCGTGATATTCAACCATTTTGAAGATCTTGCAGCCAACGTGACGTCATAAATTAGAGGACATATTCACATCATTTGCATATCAAACAAATTGAAATATCTCGAGAACAAACCATAAAAACAAGAAACTGAAAAATAAGTTACACTACAGCTTAAAGAGTTCTTTCATTTAAGAAAATAAAAAAATTCATGTCATATGCACTTTAGCGGATAAAGGTGATCTACAGTCCGATCTGCGCATGTGCACAAAGGGGCTTTTTATGATACAAACAGTTTAACTATGTTTTAGGTTCTTGAAAAGCCTGATTATTGTTTCTTGATCATTTATTATACTCTAGAAGCTTGAAAATATAAATAGTTGTCGAATAAAGCTCAATATTTTGGACACAAAAATGTAAACAAAGGCTTTGTTTACATACGGACTGTAGATCACCTTTAAGCTTCTGTAGTTTTTGTGCATGCAAAATACCATTTTGATGTCTTTCAATGTCGACGAGTTTTTCCGGAGTTCTCGGACACAAACCACCTACACTGGATCACCACGTTTGAGATATCTTTTTCAGGTAGTTCAGACACAAACAGCTTACTCTAGAAACCTGATGAATTTAAAACCGTACTAGCCTGTTCCACAGGCATTTCCGCCTGGTTTCCATATGGTCGTAAAGATGGAGTCGCGATCTTTCTCATCAGCCGAAATACAAACATTTTAGAACTGAAAATACGCGGAGTGATTATAACTAGAGACACTTATGATTTATATGTGGTTATAAATTCTTATAAACTGGCCGTTGAGAAAGATCGTGACTCTATTTTTACGGTCATCTTTTCATGTCACGGAATCATAACACCTAATCCAGTGCCCAACACCTCTGGCCCAACACTAACCTTATCGCTCGTGACCAGCTTCATCCCCAGGCTTCAACTCAGACGCAAAATGTAACCATTTTTACGATCATATGGAACCAGGTTTTACGCCTTTAGATTGGCGGGGGGAGGAGGCTAAAACCGCACAGCCAACCGTACAGGAATTTCCGTGTGAACAAACGGACCGGACGACTGTCGTAGGTTTGTGTCTGAACAGTACACACATCAATGTTGTGATCTTACCTCAAAAGGTAAAAAAAAACACTTGAAAGTTCTAAACTTTAGATTCGACTTTTTGGCAATGGTCACCCAAGTGCTTAAACGCGGAAGCGCGCTCAAATAATATTCATGCTTTGAATTTTATTGTGGTTAGATAATCATTTTGTTTCCAATATCCATTGAAAACAAACTTCACGGGAAACCCCCAGTGGCAGTGAATATTTCGTGTTGATTTCCTCAAACAAAAGCGATCAGTAAGTTCTTTGTATGTTTGCATGGCGATAAAACATATTCAACTGCAAAGCTTTCGATCCGTGAGCCCGGATCTTCATCAGTGCTGATGAAGATCCGTGCTTACGGATCGAAAGCTTTGCAGTAATCAATTTACGTGGTGTTTCCACAAACAAAACTATTATAAAAGCGATCAGTGTTTGCGACTTGCAAACGGAATCTGTGGAATCCAGTCATGATTCATTGATCGGAATGTTCCATTGCGTTTTCATGGTGTAAATCTCATTGTTTTCCAAGCCAGTCAGTCATGCACTTGTAGTCTTGACATATCTATGACCTTATTCAAAAGCCTATCGACCCTTGCCTTGTTTGGCAAATTCTTTAAAAAGCTCTGAATTTTTTTATCCTAAACAGTTTTTCAGGTATACAGGGTGTATAAAAAAAAAGTGAACCCTTTCAAATTCAAATTAGCTATAACGTATTGTAGTAGTTTGACAGCTCTAATTGCTTTGAATTAATGTTGGGTAAGAACACAAGGTCTTGTACTCCTGGGACAGTTTTTAAGAAAACTTTTAAATTTTCTAATTTTTATTTCTTTGAGTTTCGTCCCATGAGTAAAAGACCTTGTGTTCTTACCCAACCATTAATTCAAAGCAATTAGAGCTGTCAAATTACTACAATACGTTATAGCTAATTTGAATTTGAAAGGGTTCAGTTTTTTTTACACACACTGTAGTTCAGACACATGCAGTGTTTTAGATTTTGAATACGACTTAGTAAAGGTTTCTGTACACTATTAAAGTTTCTGTGATCACAGGAATTTGAAGGATTTGTAAGAACTGTTTAAGGGACTGCCTATTCAGTGTTAAACAATGAAACAGACCCCCTTAACAGACAGGCGCAATTGTGTTTTTACAATGCATATCACAGAGTATATCTCGATAACAAGCTTTCTTTCGAGATCTGGCCTTGGCAGTGGTCCACACTAAATAATAAAAATGCGGAAGGAGTGTGATCTTATGCATATTGAGTGTGATCTTATGATTATGCATATTGCTTATCATAACGTCACAATATGTCAAAACAATGCGTGCCTGGATCGGCTGGATGGCATGAAGAAGATGCAGAGAGAGGTTTTTAAAACAATGAAAAGACAATTAGGATCTTTTAACGATCACTGGATCGTAACTCGATGGTCATTGCCAAGGCCCAAGTATATGTTTTTTTTCTGACTGTACCTCTGAAGAGCAGTAAGCATCGGTAAAGATGGGAGCTTTTCTGGTCAGTATTTTTCATGCCTTCGTTGGTGTTACGTAATAAAAAGGCGGAGTAGAATGCCAGATGCTTTTCCATAACATGACTCGATGCCAGGAGCTGCAAATATTGCCTCGTTATTGGCAGTTTCAGATGCTCGGAATGCGAAACCGTAGCTATAACGGTGAAGTATCTACTTAGTGAAAAGGATCACTCGAACAATATAAACTATAAAGTGTAGCTTGTAGGTGAAGCTCTTTAATACTGCGACGGTAGTTGATTGTATTATGGGCTTCTTATAACAAGTTTCATGTTTCTTAACTATAGTCTGCTTTCGTGGAGTGTGAATCGTGAAGTAAAATATTAGGGCAATTTGTAATCGTAGTAATTTGATTGAAAGGATTGGTCAGCAATTTCAAAAGTAAGTTGATTTAAGTTGTCTTATGTTTTTGATGATTCACTGTCTATTGTCTAAACACTACCGTACAACAGAATGAAGTGAATCAGCAGTTCTCTGGGTGTGAGAAAATAATGTTAATTATTGTCATTATATGTTTTCGTGTCGCATTCGGAGGTTTATCAATATATAATTGAATTGTTTTAAATATGTGGTAGAGAGATAGTATATAGTTTGGACGTGATTAAAATACTTTAGTCTTTACTTTAGTTTTTTTTTTTTCACTTATAAATGTCAACATTTAGTCTAAAGCTTAAGAGAACCTCTAATTGAAAATATTCGTTAATATACGTAGCTTAGTTGATAAACTATAGAAAGTTTGGAAAAACTTGCCAGGATTTAGCCTGAATTTAGTCAGACGGTTATGCGATAATAATTATATTGAGTGTCCGTCTGAAATTAAGGCTGTATGGAGAAGTACGATATATACGGCTTTTGGCATCTCACTCGAATGATTGAATAATCTGATGGCGGTACTGTAGATTGAAATTGTCGACAATTTCAATCTATACAATACCCATCAAATTCATATATTCCTACAATACCCATAATCCTTGGAAATACCCTAGTATACAGCTATTTCAATTAAGGTTGTCCACGAGCAAAGCGGAAAAGTCGAATGCGAGCGCGAAAGGCTGCTGGGAATCGCTAACAAATGAATGAATTTTCAAAGCGATTCCCAGCAGCCTTTCGCGCTCGTATCCGACTT